AGAGGATGGCCGGGTTGGGCAGCACGGCGGCGATGGCGACGACAAGAGAAGGAGGAGAAAAATCTAATTTACTACACGAGGGATTTCCCAAATTAGGGGCTCCACTTACGGTATTTTTGGTGTGTTTTACCCAAGGGGTTGGTACATATTTATTGTGAGAAAAACTCCCCACATCTTCATTAACTAGCAATATGGTACTAATTGATGTTGCACCCTCCACGTTTACTAATGGACCTAAATAACCATTAACGCCATTAGTAAATAAATGCATGGACCTTTAGGATTTATTAGAATTATTGCACATGGGCTTTCAGCGTTGGAAAAAATGAGAGATTTATTATTTTTAGAATTAATTAATTTTGTGGAAAAAATAATTCCAAAAAAGTCCAGAATTATTATTTAAGCCGCGAAAAATACTCCGAAAGCTCTGAAAATTCGGGAAAAATTCCCAGAGACATTATGGAACATGAGGAACCCAAATAAAGTATTTGAAACCTATGATAAGATAATTTGGAGCATCTAAAACTTAAATTATGCTTACAAACAAGTAGGAACAAGTTCTAGAGAAAGCTAAAAAAATTCTCGAGAAGTTTGTAGAGATTGATTGACGGACAAGAAACTAAAAGGAGTGATTTATGTTACAAAGAAAAGATTTTAGGAAGCTCCCAATAAAAACTTGAGCCGAGAAACAAAGAATTAAATTATAGAAAAAGATAAAGGAGTGCCAGAGAAGGAAAATCGACCTACTAACGTATTTTAAAGACTTTGCTCACTCTCAACACACAAAGAAGCAACAAGCAAACATCACATCATCCAAACGCCCATCAAAATTAGAAAACTTTGAAAATTCATATTTTTTCTATAACTAAATTTGCGCTAGCTCAAACTAAACTTGGTAAATTTTATCCAAATATTAAAATAATTCATTTTATTTAGTGTTTTCTTGCACAACCCAAAATCAGAAATTTTGGGGTGTGACAGGTTCTTGGTGATTCAACTCTAGATGTAGGCAGTTGTGCTCCATGCATGTGCAAGGGATTTCTAGGGTAGCTTGGGTAGCTTGCTAGACTAGCTCAAGATGGCTAAGTTTGAGCTAGGTTTACCATGTGCAACTATGGATTTGGGAGTTAACCAAAAACTTGAGAAAAAGATATTAAATCTTGATCTCGAGCATGGCAACTTAACTCTAAGATTTTGAGGTCTACCATGCCATCTATCTTGGAGATAAAGCCTTTGAATCCTTGATTGCAACTTCCAAGAGATGGATTGATCATGCATTAGCTCCTCTTTTGCAAAAATCCATAAAAATGCATCAAAAAATCCAAGAGATGCAAGGAGTGATTGAGCTTGAGAAATCTTCTTGAACTTACTCTACATATGATAGAACCACCACCAGTAAAAGATCACCAAACTAGCACCAAAAACCACAAATTAGGTATTTGAGATCAAATCCAAGAAATGAGATGGATTTCTCTTGCAGCTGAAAGGACATTGATGTCGCCTAGAGGGGAGTGAATAGTCCTATTAAAATTCAACTCGAACAAACATTATTTTCCTACGCAGCATAGGAAAATAGCTATGTTTGCTTCAAGTTACTAAGATGTGTAAATGGGATGAGATGACTTTGCTTCAGAGCCGTTCCACTTCTCAACCGCTCAAGAAAATATGTTAGCTACCCCACATATCTCACAGGTATGAAGTAAAGTTTTGGAATGATCCTTATGCTTGCCCATATCTTGAGTAGCTATGTTTATGTTTACTTTATCTTAAACTTTGCTCGGGACGAGCAAAGGACTAAGTGTGGGGAAGCTAGTTGGCAGTCTTTAACTCCTACTTTTAACCACCAAAATTCCCCTAAAAAGAACACCAAACTTAGTGATAGGGTTTATAAACTAACAGATTTCACAAGTTTTGGTGATTTATCATGTGCAGGGAGAAATAGATGAAAAACATGGAAAATATGATCAAAGTGCGCAACCGGAGAAAGCGTAAAGCAGATTCAAACAACAAATAGAAGAAAGGCCCACTTACCTGGCAATCTGGGCCCAAAGCGCATGAAGACGTGGCCTAGGACCAACAAGAAACCGCCCTGTGGAAGGTAGTCATGGGGAGGCTCCACCAGGGGGCGGCCGCACCCCTAGCCACACCGACCGCCTCCAGCTTCCACGTGTCGTCTCCTGGTGATCTCCCAACATCGGTTGCATGTGGATCCCCTAAGAATATTCCTCCAAACCGACCAACAAAATGCTATAAATAGATGGGGGAGGCCTCCACACTACACACACTCCTTGAGCTTCAATCTTCATCCACATTTGTAGTAGTGTCCCTCTAGGTGCTCCTACCTAATTGTAATAGAGAAAATAGGAAGAGAGGAGAGGAAGAGAGCTCAGGAGGAGCCGAGTCTGTTGGATCCTCCTCGACTTTGTACCTCTATGGAGCTGACTCGATCTTGAGTAATATCCAGATTCTTGTTTTGGTATTTTCAAGCTTTCTATTTGATTAAATTCAAGTCTTACTTTACTTTACTTACGGGAACACCGCTCGACCGAGTGCTCTAGTCTAGGTACTGGACTAGAGTAGTAATCCACAGCTGTTGGGAGGGCCCCCGCACATGCTCGCCGTGGATCCACCGCCACCGCCGAGAGAGCACCCCCGCATGCTCGCTGTGGATCTGCCACCGCTGTAGCCACCGCCGAGAGGGCTCTCGTCATTCTAGCTACCCCGCTCGTGTGCCCTCCGCCGTCGGGAGGGTCCCCGCTCGTGTGCCTGCTGCCGATGTCGTGCCCGGATCGGCTGCCATCGGTGGTGCCCCACGCGTGCCCCCGCCATTGAGAGACAAGAGTGAAGATCTAAGAGAGGAGAGAGAGAGAGAGAGCTGAGGACCAACATCCAAACCCTAACTAAACCTGGTAATGGTTCGGGCTAAAACCGGTTTCCATGGTCTAGTTCTTCTATTGGGCTGATGTGGTTTGGAGGCTAACGGTCTGAGAGACTAGTGGGCTGATTTGGTTTGGGTTACGTGTTGGAGTGGATCAGTCCAGTTTGGTTTCGATCTACACTTTTTAGTTTGCTAATGGGCTGAAATGGTTGTTTCAACCATCGGTGTGGACCTGTGGTGCTCTTGCGTAGGCCCAATCTGGCAGCCCTTGAGGCCGTGCGAGGCCAGGATGCGCTCACTCAGGGGCAAGGGCGGCAGAAGCGGAGGTGTGCTCCTCGCCGCCATCGATGCGACGCAATGCAGCGCCACTGGTTCACGTTCCGTCGGCTGGTCCACCAGCTGGAGGATGCCAGCGACCTCGCCGCTACGGGACATGGTCGCGGCGCATATCCGCCTCGCTAGGTTCCATGGGTGCATGGGAGGTGTAGCTAAAAGGACCTTGATGTCGCTTAGAGGGGGCTAAATAGGCCTGTTAAAAATCAACTCGAACAAACATTATTTTCCTGCACGGCACTACTGCTCTACGAGCAGCACCGCTTCTCCACCTGACAAGTTCGAGATCACAGTTCCAAATCTACCCAAGGAAATTTAGATCAAGCAAATTACTGAGCTTCCTGAGGTAGTGTTGAGCGTATTCCACCACTTGTTTGAAGTCAGAAACTTATGCACAAGTAGATCGAGGCCAAACCCTAAAATCACCAATAAACAAGTATAGCACAATACAAAGCAAGAACACAAAGAGAGACAAGTTGTTTATCCCGTGGTTCAGCTCGCTACCAAGGCTTGCCTATGTCCACGTTGTTGAGGAAGCCACAAAGGCTTTGGTCTCTTTCAACCTTATCCTCATTCTCATGTCAAGAGAGCAAATCTCTTGAGATGAGGGGTTCTTACTAGATGTAGAGGGTGATAACAAACATCCTGGAGCTGCCACAAGAGTTGGAAGCTTTCGGGCGATGCCTAGCCATCTAGGAGCCTTGCTACAAGAGTAACAAACACAATCACCAGCTTGAACGCAAGTGCTCTAGGAGTTGAAGAACAATTGGTGAGCTCTCTAATGCAGTTTAGAGGGTCAAACTCTCATGGATTTGCAAGGGAAGCAAAGTAGAAGCTTGAGGGGCTCTAATGGAGTTAGAGAGAGGGAGAGAGCTATTGTCGGAGCACTGGAGAAGGGAATGGTCAAGATGACCATTGGGAGAGAAAGGGGGGTGAAGGAAATATCCCTTCCTCCAACGGTCAGATTTTAAGGCGTGGCATTGTTCCTCTGCGAGCGGTAGTGCTGCTCTGCCCTGGCAGCCTCAAAACAAGGAATGAAAGGCAGACGTTTCCTCATTCCCGTTGTACTCAGGGAATGACAATTTGTGAGTGTTTGATGGACGTCTCAGCTGGGGAAGGAGTTGGTAATAGAGGTCGCTTCGGGGTCGGGGGGCACATATCTCTGTCCCTCCTCCGGATTTGGTTGTGTTGGATGATGACCTGGCGCATTCCTCAAAAAAAAAATTGAACCTCATTGCCCAGTGATCGATGATGTCGCGAATATCCTCCGTGGAGATGATCACAACGTGGCTCCGGATACAAGTTGTCAGGCGCCTAATCTCCCAAGGGCAAGTAGTGACCTTCTGAGGGCCGATCTGGGCGGCGACAGGCTGTATTAGCGGCCTAGTGGCCGGCTGGTGCAGGCGGCGGCCGGTGGACGGCGGCCAGGCTAGCTGGGGCGGCCGGCTGGGCGGCAGGAAGCAGCAGCAGTGGGAGGCTGCGGCCTTGGAGGGGCCACGGGCGTGGAGAAGAGGAGGAGAAGCGGCGGCGGTAGAGAAAGAGAAGAGAGGGAGGAGAGATAAAGGGATTAACCATAAACTTGCTTGCCTTCTCATTGATTGTCTCCCTCGTCTATATAAGGGGGGTTACAATTGCTAATAGGCTTGGCCCAAGAGCCTAACCATCCATCATGATTAGATCTATAACAGCTGGGCTTAATGCCCCTCACTAAATAACTAGCCCGTTGCCCTATTCGGTGGTCTCCTTCTAGTATATGTCCTGCCGACCATGACAGATGACCTGTAAATTATTATTTTCCTTTGATGCTGGACATATTTATAGCATGCATCTTGCTTGCTACTTCTCTCATGTCCATCCGGTCTTTTGGTAATTGGCACGTACAAGAAAGTGCAACCTGTAGCATAGATAGAACACATCGATGAACAGCAGTGTCTATGTCGTCCATTCTTCCTTGAGTGGTTACTTTGCACATTTCTTGGATGGGGGCATCAATAATATCCGATATCTGATCTGGGAAGCTCTTATCTACGAAATCAACAAGGTTGGCTCCATTCTCAAACATTGGGTCAGTAGGTCTTTTCCCCGTCAACATTTCTAAAAGCACAATTCCGAAACTGTAAACATCCCCGCTAGTCGATACACGAGCACCTCCAGCATATTCTAAACAAAAGAACGTTAGTATTGCAATGCAATGTATCCATCATCGCAGTCTAAACGAAAAGAATAATCTTAATTAGTAATGCATATCAAACACATGGGAAGCAGGGACAATACCTGGAGCAATGTACCCAATAGTTCCCTTGATCCCGGCTGAAGTAGTTGAATCTGTTGATGTCATCAACTGAGAATTAACATAGAAGCTTGCAATGCCAAAGTCACCCAAATGAGCAGTCATGTCATCGTCTAGTAGTATGTTACTGGGCTTGACATCACAATGAACAATAGGCTTTCCACTGTCATGGTGTAAATAATCCAATGCATCAGCTATGTTAACAGCTATGCTTAGTCTTTGAGTTAAGTTCAGATGTTTTGGAGATTTCACTTCCAGGTTGTTATGTAACCATGTGTCCAGATTGCCGTTACGCATGAATTCATAAACTAGAGCTTTGAAAACATTGCCGTCTCTATCTACAGTAGAGCATGCAGTTATGATCGGCACAAGATTACGATGTTGAATTCTTCTCAGCGCTTCACATTCTGAGAAAAAACTTTTCTCTGCACCTCTCATATCAAGATCAAGCACCTTAACAGCCACTTCAATTTTATTTTTCAAGATGTGTCCTCTGTATACTGAACCATAGCTTCCTCTGCCAAGCAGATTAGATTCAGAGAAGTTTCGTGTGGCTTCAGCTAAATCATTGTAGGATACTTTGGGGAATTGTTCACCGGTAAAATCTTGCAACGGCGATGATTCTCTTGCTTTCCTCATCCCAGTAAGAAGAAAATAGATCAACAAGATGAGTGACATGAATCCAAATATGGGAATGAGTATTCTAATCATGTAGTATTGTGTTAATCTTCTCCTGGACACATGAGGGCATGGCTGCATCTTTAGATCTACAGCTCCACCACAAAGCCCGGAGTTGTCACTGAGTGAGACAGATGCAGCATTCTCAAATACCCCACTGCTTGGTATTTCTCCATACAGATGATTGTAAGAGAGATCTAACAGGGCGAGAAATTTTAGATCACCCAGTGCTACAGGTATTGAGCCAGACAAATTGTTGTGTGAGAGATTAAGCAAGGCTAAGTTCTTCAGTCTGATCAAAGACATTGAAATGTTTCCACTGAGAAAATTATGGTCAATTTGAAGGATCTGCAATTTTTGACATTCCCCCAAAGAATCAGGAATTTCCCCAGAAAGTTTGTTTGATGAAAGATGAAGCTCAACAAGTTGGTTCAGATTGCCAATATCTGTGGGTATTGGACCATCTAAACTGTTGTAGGATATCTTATATATAGTTACTGTAGATGATAATTGAGTAAACATGTTGCCCTGTAGGTTATTATAACTAAGGTCCAACTCAGAGAGCTGTGAAAGGTTTAGTAAGCTAGGAGGTATGGGAGCTTCTAAATCATTGTTGGCTAACGAGAGATATTCCAAACGAGTAAGATTACCAATGGAGAACGGGATTGGTCCAATGAAGTTGTTTTCATTAAGAACTAAACCCTGTAGGTTTGTCATGTTTCCAACCCACTCTCCAATGGGACCAGTGAGGCTGTTGTTTTGTAGTTGAAGTGTTGTTAGACCAGATAGGTACGATATGCTCATAGGAACAGTCCCCAATAGATTGTTTGTGTCTAAAGCTAGCCATTGAAGATTGGGAGATAACTTACCTATAGAATTTGGTATAGCTCCTTGCAGTTGATTTTGACTTAGCTGGAGCGCATTTAGTAGAGTACAATTGCTCAGTGCGTCTAAGAATTCCCAGCTTTTGGTGTCTTTTGCTTCCAATTTGTTTTGCTGAAGTCCTATAAAATGGAGCCCCGAAAGTTTACCAAAAGAAATTGGAATTTGACCAGCGAAATGGTTATTTGAAAGATCTATATATACCAGCCCTGAAGCATTCCCTAATGAAGCCGGAATTTGACCTTCCAGCATGTTATCTCGTAGGTTTAGTGTTAAAAGATCAGGGAATATGTTGCCAATATTGGCTGGCAGTGCATTACCCAGCATATTTGAACCTAAGTCTAGAGCACGAAGGGAAGACCGATTGGAAATGTCAGGAGAGATGGAACCAGATAGCATATTTTCACCAAGGAACAGCTGTCTGAGATTGGGTAATTGCCAAAGCTGGTCGGGAATGACCCCTTGGAGCTGATTCGTTTGGAGGAGAACCCCCCGTAGCTGGGTGGCGTTGATGAGGCTTGGTGGGATGGTCCCAGTAAGACCATTTTTGACAAGGGAAAGAAAAGCTAATTTAGGAAGGAAACCTATTTTGGGGGGGATTGTGCCCGTTAACATGTTTGTGCCCAGATCAAGCATTTCAAGTCTCTGAAGACGAACGAAGTCAGGCAACTCGCCCGAGAAGCTGTTTTGGGACAGGTTGAGTACCATAAGGAACGTCAAGTTCCCAAGACTGGGTGAAATTGAGCCCGACAAGCCTTGGTCACCTAGGTTCAACACGGTGACACGGCCTGGGTGCCTGAGGCTGCATGTGACACCCTTCCATTGACAGTAGGGGGTGGTGCTGTTCCAGGAGCTCAGTGTTCCTTGTGGATCACTGGTGATGGCTCCCCTGAAATCAGATAACATTAGCATGTCCGTGGTGTTGTTGTACAGTATAGTTAAGCAGCGGATGCTGCCAACCCCGTAAGACATTAGCAGCAAAAAGGCCGCTAGCATAAGCATGGCGAGTTTTACTGGTTGGTAGCCAAAAATAATGCCCTTTTTACCTGCGAAATATGATATATTAACATTCTGTCATTATGTCTTTGTATTCATAAAACTATTCCTAGTTCATAGTGTTAAAATAAAGTTAAATAACTGTCACATCATATTTTTTTTTCTGGCTTGGCACAAAACTAATAAGAACGAGGTAAGGAAAACAATATCATCATATAAAGGGATATGTTTGTGCTAGATATCCAAGACTAAAAAATATTGACATGCTTAAATTTGGGTCCACTGTCATAGATAAAATATTTGCAAGAATTACTTGACTTAATCTCCTAAAACACAGTGTAATATAGGATACCATGCATGTATTGGGTGCACTGCTGCATCAATGTTTAATTTATATATTTGTATGACATGATAGCTTTGAACAAAATGACATGATATAGTGCCTTGTGATGAGTAATTTAAGGGGAACTACTTTCCGTGTCAACTAACTAGGACAAGATACCGTGAATTCGCCTGGAAAAATAATTTACATATGTATCAACCGCTCGTAATTAAAAAATTTCGCAGTCACGTACGACAATAAACATGGCAGGCCTAACGGTAGGAGACAATCCAAAAAAAATGCACGTACTAGTTATTAGGAGGGAGAATAAGAACCTCTGTCTCTGATGATCGTATGAAGAGGGCGCAACGTTGCAGCAGCCTTGCTTGTCTTCTTGGCTTTGCCAGGTCGCCTTTTGAAGCGCATGAACCGTGAACTTTGTGTTCGGGGGTGCCCAGCTGGTTCAGGACTGGGGACACCAGGGATTTAAAAGAGTTCAATAGCACCTCACGTCCACACACTTTGGTTTCATTGCTTAATCTTATCTTGACCGCCATTGCAGGCAGCGAAAAGTCAGTCAAATTCACCGGTTACCCGCCACTTTTCACCTCCATGTCCAAATCCAATATAGAAATTATGCACGGATGTGATATTTGTCTCGTCACGTCGATGATGACAAAACTCTGGTGCTTATCTTTACTGGCGCTAGATTCTTGTGTCCAAATCCGATTTGATTTGATTCGCTTTTATATTCGCGCTTCTAGAACGAGCGTGTGGGCATGATTCGTTCATATGGGTGATCTTTTCATTTCTCAGGGTAGCGCGTCAAGTCAACTTGTATGTATATGATCTGTCAAGATCACGCCATCAGTTGGAGAAACAAGTCCATCAGCATGTGATTTCCCACGTGCAAGAATCTTATTATGAGACATAAACATTAGTACGTTTTATATTTTTATTGCTACTATAAAAATAATGTTTAGCAATGGCCTTATCTTTTTTAGAGACAGCTTAATTTCTAGCTGCATGTATAAAAGCCTTCATCAGCTCCCCAAAATCTAGTCGCCTCTTAAATTGGCAATTTATGGAGCTGCCTCTATAAATTGGGGTCAATTTAGAGGGGGTCATTTTTCAGAAGCGGCTGTGTTTTCTAGACACCTCTAAAATGGCATTTGTAGAGGCAGCTTTAATATAACTAGAGATACCTCTATTAATTGCTACAATATAGTTTATAGACCTCCTTCCTCCCCGCGACAGATACGACTGTACATTACTGGAATCTCGCTTTTTTCTGTGTGTGCGAAAACACACAGAAAAATACGAATACCGTCAAAAAAATATTTTTCTGATATTGTACCTTCAGAAAAATACCCACAGAAATATAATGAATTTTTCTGTGGGTTCACCGTCAGAAACAATTTTTCTGTGGGTCTCACACGCACACAAAAATTGTGTTCGCCCAGATTAAAACTAATTTTTCTGTGTGTTAATCCACATAGAAAAAAGAAATAAACGCACAGAAAAATACATGTTTTTTCTGTCGGTCTAGGTGAACTCACAGAAAAATTCATTTCGCCCAGATTAAAAAAAATATTTCTGTGTAGCCAGCCTCACAGGAAAAAAGAGTTAAACACACAAAAAATTATTTTAAAACAGTAGCAACAGCATATTAAAATATATATTTTCCATACAATAATTTCTGTGCATAACAACAATGTTTCATTCAAATAATACACAAATCAGTAGTTCATCATGAATAGAGTCAACACTTATGTCAAAAATAAAATCAGTCTGATCTATATCATATATACAGATATGATATCTGGTCATCTACATGTTCAACATGAATACTACAATGAATTCACAAATATGGATATCGAAAAAGAAACCAAACTATTTTTTCTTGTTCAACCAGTGAAACGTTCACAAAGGAAGTGGAGGGCAAATTCACTGCACCATGGGATCAGGGTTCCCAGCAGCAAGAATATCAAGCAAAGAGTTACAGGGCTCCAGCTCGTCATGCCACAGGGGTAGCTTGTCCAGGACAAAAGTTCCTCTTCACGCCATCGGCATTTATCTGCAGTGCAACCAAATTGAGTTTATTTTGAACTAAAAAAGGTTTAAGCCAAGAGAACACAATCATTTTTTTTGAAACTACAATCCATTTTATTAATTGACAGAAGAATGTACAGCACCACACTAAGAAGTTAAATGATCAAAAGTTACGATTTTCAGTTACAGCTGATTGAGTTTCACTCCGAAAGCTATCAAAAGCATCATGCTAGATATAAGTGCCAAAACCAACATAAGACAATCCATGACACCCAACTAGTTCAGGTGATTGCTACATAAGACAATCCATGACCCCTCCACTAGCACCATCACGGGCCATAGCAAGGGAAACTACCTTCACCACAAATTTCAGTATATATGAACAATAGAAATATATTAGGAACATTGAGGCTAGTTGTACTCTATTCGCTTTACACAATTATAATAACCTTCAGTCATACTACTACACTAGAGAGTATCTCAATTCCAGGATCTAAGTAAGAAGGAATTTGGCGACATACCTCTACCTCTTCCTGGCTCATTCCCTCTTTCCATTCATGATCAAGAAGGGCATAAAGGTAACTGGAACCTGAACCTGCAATTCAGAGATAACATAAACAAGTGTTGTATAATACTTAAGTTGGAGAGCAAAATATTCAGAAAGGCAGCTCATGGGAAAATGGCACAACAATGAACTCAAGTTGGGAACAAAATGCTAGTGCTGCGAATGATTCTGGTGATTGGGGAGGCTGGGGTAGTGGAGTTGGAGCTGCTGCAAAGCCAGCAGATCAAGATAATTCATAGGAAGTGCATGCTAAGGTGCCGGACAATTCCACTGATTGGGAAATGACTTATACTTTGGCTGCTCACTCAATTCTTTATACCGGTATCACAATAAAACAATCTAGACAAATGAGAGAAAAAACTGAAACATGGAGGAAATGATATCTCAGTCATGATTCATATTATCTAATTTAGCGGATTCTGTGACATATACAATGAGGATAGTGGATAAATGTGCTAAACATGTATATGTGTGCAGTCATAATGCAGAGAGAAGAAATGCAATCTTAACTCATAAAAACAAAATGTTGCATTAACGCATAGGCAACATGTCAGTATGCCAAAAAATAAAGTGTGAATATTTAGACATAATAAAAGGATCTAAATTGGGGGTAGTGTGACAATCCAGCAACTGTCCAAGAGTCAAGACATGAATTGGAATTCACATAGGAGATTTCTTCTAAGGGAACAAGGCCATTGGCAGTGCTAACATCCAACTATAACATCAATTGCATTTATATCGTCAAAGAATACAATATCATGAGGAGAATGTAACCAAAGTTGTTGACTAGGTGCATTGGAGTAAATGTAATGTTAAGCCTACACAAGCACAATGTAATCACACTATCACAGCATCATGTTTATCTGATTTGATAGGAAACCTTCTACAGTTCATGAAAAGCTGAAAACTTTACAAACTAAACTTGTCTCCCTCGACCTTGTCAGTCACTGAGCATTCTGATTTACCATGTGCCACTGCTGCAATGGCCACATAAGCTAAAAATCACCCATCCCTAAATTCATGGAATTACGAGACTGAATTACACCAATCAACGAAATTTACAGAAGGAAGCAGCAATACATACTACTGAAAAACAGTGGCAAACAAGTCGTCGTCTTAACTTGAACCAACCAGCCTCCCCCAGGAAACAACCAAAACCTTTCCCCAAGCAACAGACCGAGACAAACAAAGTAACATAAAAATCGCATTAAAGGTCATCTCCACGAACCCTAGGGGATGAACAGGTTGATCGAACCTCTCACTCTTTCTACATTGGATCCAAAGCATCCCGATTAGCAAAGCACAAACTAGCGTACGACAGAGAGCAGAGACACAATATAAACAGGCGATGGACCCTAATATCCACTAAAGCAAGTAGCGATCGGAGAATAAAAGAAATGAAGGAAAGATCTCGGCGTCGTCGATCTTAACCCCGGTACTCAAATATTACGTTCAAGATGGCTCGTAGAGGAAGAAAGGCACGCGATGGGGTCCTCAACGGCCGGCGGCTTCTCTCCGCTGCGGTGCTTCTCGAGAGGAGCGCGTTTTGGGCTTTTGGGGGCGGGGCGGCGGATCCGGGGTGGCGTGGGGCAAGGAGGGAGGGGGGCGGGTGGCAGGGCAAGGAGGGAGGGGGGGGGGGGCCGCGGGAGGGAGGAGGAGGGAGGGGAGGAGGAGGAGGGAGGGGGCCGGAGGAGGAGAGGAGGGAGGAGGGAGGGGGCGGCCGCCGGGGGAGGTAGTAGAGAGGGAGCGGGGCAGGGGAGAGGAGGGCCGAGCAGGCGTGGAGAGCTGTGCGGCAAAGTGATGTGCCGGGTTAGGGTTAGGACTTGTTTTTTTATTTATCGCGTGCATATATTTTTCTGTGCATTCATATATTTTTTCTATGCGTTTTTAAAGCACTGACAGAATAAATTGCGTTTTTCTGTGAGTGTTGATTTTTTCCGTGTGTGTATTGTCACGTACAGAAAAATCATACAATTATTCTGTGGGTTTTCGTATTTTTCTGTCGAGATATTTTGAAACCGATAGAAAAATCGTAATTTTTCTGTGCGTGCCAAAAAAAACACACAG